GGAAAGAGGATGGGTCAATTGGTGCGAATTATTTTAACTCAATGTCTGTTCAAATGGGGCACTGTCTGCATTCATCTACTGATGCTATTTTAGCTCCTTATTTCTCTGCAGTAACCAGACCCTCGTAGAAAATCAGCATTTGAGATAAAAAAAAAAGTAATCTGGAAACTCAAAGTGGCAGGATATGAAAGGCGGAGTGGTGACTACATGGCTGTGGGCAGCAGAGAATGAAGCAGTACGTTAACTTCTTTCGCTTGAAATTGACCTGTGATCTTCCACCCCACCTTCAAATTTAGCATGTGATTAAAGACTCAACAAACAGGCGGTTTTAGGAAACTAAATTCTTACTCTGCTTGCCTGCCTCCTCAGCAGCAAACCCTATAGAGGAAGGGGAGACTGCTGGGCTCTGTAGAGGACGAGGCAAATGATCATGGAGTTCCAGCATCTTGCAGATTTGTGGCAGAAATTCTCCCCCCTTTCCTCTCTTAAAAGATTGCTGGTCTGATTAGTTAAAATCCATCAGGCATCTTCTACATAATGGTAGGCCCAAAGAGGTCGTTTTAATCCGTCACTTTTCTCCCCTCACCAACACTCCTCTCCCATAGCACTTTCAAATAGTTTGTACACGCGAAAGTAATCCGGCAAGAGGGTTTTGTTTCTTTGCTTAAAGAGGACAAGAAATCCAGCTCTAGTGGTAAGTCCCACAGCACATGCCTCTATTTTCCACGGAGGAAAATAGAATCCTGATGGAAACGCAGCACCTCCCAGAACTGGCTTGTGAATTAGATGTAACATCCTTTCACTATGGGTTGAGGTCAAAGCTCCTCTACAAGACGGAGAGGCCCCTGGTCTCCTTCCAGCATCTGAGAAGGAAAGGACACCTAAGGGACATTTACCTTTGACTTCTGAGTCCCTAGCAGCTCAGAGGTCCCCTCTCTAAACAACTGGTTCTCTTTTTACTCTCCCACTGCCACCCCGCCTCCAGCCAGAGAGAAAGACCTAAGTGAGTGTTTACAGTGGAGGGTGCTTGTTTCCCTGGCTTTAGGCAGACAAATGGGGGAATAATCGTCTGTTTCCCAAGGGTGATTCATTTCTCTGAGTGAGGAAAGAGCTTGTTGAGGATTTCTTTGAAACAGCACAAGGCAGCCCTCCAGCCTTTGCCCAGAGTTTATTATTTAGAAAGGGGAGGGGAGGGGAAAGCTTCATCAATCAGGAAAACTATTTTCTCCTGAATTTTTTGTGTCCTGTTTCCAAAGGCCTAGTCCCAGGGAAAGACTTAGGGCCTTACACTGGCCCAGTGGTGGGCTTCACTGCATCTCAAGAGCTACAGCTAAAATAGGGGCCTGCAAAGGACTAAGGCCATCCTCTTTCCCACTAGAAGAGTCCTGGCTTTGGGCATTATGATGCTGGGAGGAAAATTTCTTGAGTTAACTCCAGTGGTCAATTGAAAGAACCAGCGGGTTCATCTTATGGGGACTGACGTAAAAGGAATCTTAAGCCCAGAGAACTTTACACTGAATTCTCCAACCAAGATGGAAAATAGACACTATGCTACTTCATACCTGGAGGAGATTCCCTAAAAGTGCGGAGCTCTTTTCTGGGTTATAAAAACTCCATTGGTTTAGAGACCAGGAAAGGACGTTTTTGGTTTTGTTTATAATTTTGCTATAGGGCATGTGTGCTGGCTAGGGGGTGGGGTGGGGGAGAGGGGGAATGAGAAATCACCCCCCTGGGGAGATGGCCATGCTGAAATCCCCTTCCCTCCATTCTTCTCCTGGGATTTTGGGCGCACATGCACACATACCTGGTGTGTTTTCCAAGCCACTGGGCCCAGGACTTGAAAATTTCTTTCTTTTTTTTTAAAAATCATTTTATCTAGCTTTATGTATTTATTTAATTTGACCAGAGAGGGACAGGATGAGAGAGAGAGAGAGAGAGAAGAAATCCAGGGAGGAAGGTGACTTGACACCAGGTCGACTGCCTTCATGGGAAAGGGTCTTGCCCTGTTACCTAGGCTGGTCCCTGGGGATGTAAGTTCCCAGAATGCTTCCAGTTAAATTGTCAAACAAGATGACATGATCATGAAGGTAAAAGTAGTTCTTGGCCAGATTTTCTTTTTCATTATAAATTTGCCACTTTCTTGAAGCTTTCCAAATTTAAAGTAGTTTTAAATCCAGTTCAGAAACGCCATGATGATTTTTTTTAGTCCAGATTAATCATTGCTTATCATAAAAAGTACAGTGAAAGCTGGAAGCCTCGGGCCGGCACCTTGAGAGGCCACACTAGACCAGCCTTGGCACCTTTCTGAAAGGTGACCAAACTTTAAGGGTTGAAGAAAGTCACACTTAGAAAGGGACCATGAGGCCAGCATAGACTGAGCCTACCAGATCGTTGATCCTAGGAACACCCTTCCTTCTCCCAGGGTTCTGGGGCCCCAAGCTTACATCCTGCAAAAAGACAGGGAGATGAATTCTGAACTGGGATCATAGCTCTGACAGCAGAAGGCCTTGAGTCCCCTCAAACTTCCTTTTTTCAAGTTGCTGGGTCAAACAAGTTTTTGTCACCCCCACTGATACCCCACCAGAAATTGCAAAAGCCCCCCCCCCAGGACCACCTTGCTCAAACAAGATTTTCAGTGCACTTTCCAGGGCTTTTCCAGAAACTTCAGAGCCCTTCTCTCATCTCCTCCTGCCACTGCTGGGTGTGTGTGTGTGTGTGTGTGTGTGTGTGTGTGACCATTCTCACCCTCTCTGAAAGGAGTGGCTACCAAACTTCTGTACTCAGATGCAAAGGGTCTGAGGCTTCCTGGAGGGACTCTGGCTCCTGACCCTTGGTTGCCAGTGGGGACCCAGTACTAGTTCAGGGTCCCAGACATGGAGGAGCTTCTGGGGACCTGAATACATTCTATGGAAGCTTGGCCTCACTGTCCTGGGGCTCTTCTTCTAGGCTTTTCTGCCACCGGTCTTGCTGGGCGTACCTGGTTTGAAGGGGCCCTCTCTGGACACCGAAGGCGGCCTTCCGGAGATCACCTTGATGCGGCATCTCCCCAGTAAGGTCCCCTGGCCCAAGCTGGGAAAGGGGAGCTGTGAAGAGAAGGAGGCCTGACTTCTTCCCTGGATTTAGGCCCTGGCTGTCGGGGATCCTCTGGTTTAGGAAGGAAGCGAGAAGAGTCACAGTGACAGCTGTGAAGTGTCTCTCCTCAGAACTAGGCCAAGGGAAGGGCCCTTTGTAGACAGAGATGCACCTGCACCCCCAGCTGGGCTCTAGAAAACTTGCTGGAGTGCCTCTTCTCCCAGCTCCAGCAGAGTCTGAGCCTGGCAAGTACCGGGTGCCCTCAGAACCAGCTCGCGGAGTGACATTCGAATGCTCTCGTCTGCAGAGTCCTGTTTTTAGTGAAACCTTCTGCCTGTTTTTAGTGAAACCTTCCCTGGGACACTGCGGATCTGCGAGGTGTTCGAGGTCTTCCGGGGAGGAGGTGCAGGGACTGCAGACTCTCAGAGCCTGACAAGGACACC